TCGCGGTAGCCTAGAGCTTCGATGTTCTTCAGAGGGCATATTCATCGGTTATTTTTAGCAGTAATTCGGTTTTAAAGGAATTTTCCTTTTTAGTCATCAAGGGTCAATGGTCGGTTTAAGAGGAGCTCGGTAAAAGTGCTAGGTGGAAGAATTTACGTAAAATGCTACTCACCAAAAAAGAAAGAATAAATTCGAGGTTTCCGAGCCTAAAAAACAGGCGGTGGAAACCGTAGACACCAACAATACATTGTGTAGGCTCAGTTCATCAATCGATTTGCAGTTCGAATTACATGTATTTACAAAAAAGTTGCATTATTTGAGGAAATCAGAATTTATGTTGGCAGAATAAAGAGATTTGACTTTTTCGCGAATGCTTTACTCATCTTTATTCCAATAAATAGAGTTTACCGCAATCTTAGACACTTTCGCTAAAAACTAAAGGGCAGAATTTCTTCCGGGGTTGTGGGAGTAGTCCCATGCGCGATGTCCGTTTGGTGGAAGACCACCACATCGACTGCGAAGGGTAGAAGAGTCAGCGATTTCAGGAGCTTAGTTTTAAAAAGTAGAGGTACAAATGGGACTGTGGATGCTGTTTTCTTTGTGCTTATTTTATGAGCAGAGTCAAACAATTCAAGCTGTTGAAAGCTGTTGACTCATTTTCATTTTGCCGAAATGCTACAACATAGGAGGCAAGTTGTTCAGGATGAGACTGACTGTCGAACGTCTCAATAGAAATTTCCTCGGAGTCCTGGGTTTTATAACAGCGAGTGTTTTGTCGAGCTTATCGCTCCTTTTAGAGGCCGAGTCGCACACCGATGACACATTTCAAAACAAAAGTGGACAAATACAAGACTATTAAGCACTGTCATGGACAAGAATAAGTTCTTGGTCTAAGGATGGCATTCCCAGAGGTCTGCGTATGTTGATGAACTCACATGCTGTGTTTCAGACTTTTCCTGACCACACATGGTGTCGAGCTGTCAGAAACGCTATCCCTAACGAAATCCCACGCATTTCCTCCGACCACATACAGGAATTCTGCATAAACATGCCAATCCGCAAAAAATGGCACACCATCTCGTGAATCGGCGTGTGTCTCAGGACAGGTGCAAATTCGTTTTTGGTCACTAGTTTAATCTTCCCCCAAAAATGCAAGAAACTTGCTCACCTAGGCGGTAGCATCGTTACTGGGTGGGCAGTGTTGACGCGCATGAAATTGATCTGTGCTGATCTTCCTCCAATCACCTTTGGGATGTGAAAAAAACACGTTATATTCACACCCGTACCAAGAATGTTCTCTATTGTTCCTATCGATGGGAAGTTGGCTCCGCTGGTTCCAACAATTTTAATCTCCTTGAAAATCTTTCGATTCGCTTCGAAAGTTCATGAACGTTTCAAAGTCCGTTTGTGCCCACTGTGCTTGGTTTCAGAGCGCCGCAGCTGCTCTGATCTGTTAGTTCTACACATCATTCCATGTTTCTTGATTACCAGATAATAACTTTCTTTGTTCTATGAATATTTTTAACTATAATTAATAACGTATAAAATCTAATGCTGCGATGACCTTCTTCTTTCTAGTGAGATTTGCTCTGCAGTCGAATTAATTTCATTCGAAAATGGCTCGTCGTTTTGCCTCTGTTGATCGTCGAGAAGTGATGACATCGATAGAAGAACTCTGCGATAGGATACGAGTATTAAATGCTCAAGTCCTTAATCCCATCGGAACAATGGTCACGAAAGTATGTTGTGTTGTTCAAATTTTGCGCAGCGCTGTTACACCAGTTGCACTGGCTTCTTGTGGCCTTCTGAGCGACGTGCTCGCACTCTACAGCAGAGTAGATGGAGACTGAAAGAGCCCAGTTTTTGACATCATGTCGGTAAGACCTTGAATCGATAATGTGCTTCCGAATTCTTGAGAAAACATCCAGAATTCGTGGTGGTCCCACTTCACACTTCCTCGTGACAAGTTCACCCATGTTTTGCTGGCGAACATGACTGCTGCAAAACGTTACCCTAACGTGTGTGAAATTCTTTCTCTTATCGTCCTTTCTTATAGTCACCGAATGTCGCATTAGGCCAACTTAACGTGCACGTCGCATCACTCAACGTACAGCTAGTACAACTGAAGCATAAAGTGAGTCAGTGTTGTCTTCCTTGCCTACTTGTCCGACCTACTCAAAATCTGTTCTATGCTGTTCATTTCTTTATTGAAGACAATTGCATAATTCAGATTAGCATACTCGAGCAAGCCGCGGTCGATGTGTATATAAGATCCAGATTGCAAAGAGGGAGCCCTTCTGCGACATTGGATGAACTTTCTAGTAGATCCGAGGAGGTATGTCAACACTTCGGTGTTGCTTCCGTTTCAAAAGCACTCCAATATTTCCAGTTTAGAGATCCTTCGAGGAAAATGACGTTTCCAACTTCAACGTGACATTGCCCGACTCGCCTGTCGAATGTGCGATCATTATGGTTAGTGCTCTTTTTGCACAAAAACTTGTCTGTTTTAATGATTCGCTTTCGGTAGAAGTAGTTCTTTACTTTCAGAGTGCAGAGAACGTCCATCTGAATGAAATGAGCGAGGTATAGCTTTCCTATTTCTATTACTTATTCAGCAGCGCTTAGGTTCTCTATGTGAGCATTTACTATAATGTTCTCGCCGTAAGATATCGAGGGTTCTTGTAAACTTCGGTACAACGGCGATAGCACTATCAAATTTGTTAATAAGAATCACTCATCGATTCCTGGGAAATCTTTATTCTTATCCAGAAATTTTGTAGCATATTTAAATACTTTTCAGAAGTCACGTCGAGCTAAACGTCGATCTCGCTCGTTGTCCATTGTAGTGAGTTTCCTATTTTCTTTTCCTAATAAGAATCTGAAGACTTGCTTTGCCTCGAAGAAACGAACTCTACATGTGCTCTTTTCGGTTCCAGTTCTTCTTAGTTCTACCTTACGTTCAGCATATCTTGATGCATTATCTAGTGAGCGATGTAACACTTATCTTTTTCTCGTCCCCATTTTGCAGAAGAAAATGATTCGACGGTTGACTCGCTCGGTTACACCAAGCCGTCGACTTCTCACTTCCGACAACGTCGACGCAGACGTCACTCTTTGCGAACATAACTGACTCCTAGCGCTTTTATTAAGTTCCACGTCACACTGTGAAAATAAAACTTTTCCTACTTTTTCTTGGTTTCTGCTTCGCCAGTGTTCATTGCCAGCAACCATACATTGTACGATATCACTCCTTAATTGGGCGTTTGAAAACCAGAAAAGATGTAGTCCTAGAAGTTCATGGGTATGCGTAACGCGTTCCTTTTTATGCTGAAAGTGCAATGAAATCCAATAAAACAAAGAATGAAATTTTTCACGAAAATAAGATAACAATTAGCATTAGTGATCGGGGATATTACCGTATCTCTCTCGTTTCGACCAACGGTACTCGATCACGACGGCAAGGAAACCATACATGATCTCCATTATTCTAGAATTTCAATGTGATGGAAAAAAATGCGCGTGTGGCGCAGTGGTCGGAGGGCCCTACAACACAAACGTGGAATCGATCCTCGTGCTCGTGACCTATCAAGCCCTCCATCCCTCTGGAGTGGTGGGTGGTGCAAATTGGTGCCAGACTTGTCTGGGAGGAGAGCAGCACTGGCTTGATACATCGGTAAGCTACCATGAGTCATTGTAAAAGCCAAATATGCATTCAAACACAAGTCTGGTACCAATTTGTCGACACCAAAGGAATGGAAGGCTTGGTGGGCCTTGGGAGCGGCAATCGATACCACGTGTTTGTTACACGGCGCCTCCGACCATTACGCCACACGCGCCCTCGAAAACTAGTAAAATCAAAAAATATTAGGGTTATCAGTTGGTGATAAGTGTGGAGAGTATGTGGTAACTCTTCGTCTGTTGTTGATATTGAGATAGCAGGAAAACATCCTGAAGACTACTCCTTTTATTTTCCATCATCTAAAAGGGGATCCAGAAGTCAATACCGAAAACCTAACGCGGGATGGGTCAAAGTGAAACGAGTGGCCTGTTTAAAAACATTAGCTGCTTTGCAAATTAAAATTAAATTATTAATATGTCTGGTGTTATAGTTGCTTCTAACAACTCATAGGTTGGAGCCCACTGTTGATCTGGCTACCACCGACCGCTCAAATTTCAAAGTTAGACCTATCGCCAGCTGTGTAAGCGGGGCTATGGACGTAATGGCTTGGTTCGTAAAACTTATACTTATCCAGTTACTTAAGCACATTTCAGCCATTCTCACGAATGCTTAAATGTTCATAGATCGTCGGCATAATGCGTGTCCTAACAATGCGTACGTGATGGACTCTTTTGGTCTTACCGTCCTTTATTCTATCGCATCGAGTGACTCGACAATAGAAGCTATCACAATGGGACAACGACTGTCACCAAGTCTTTCCACTGATTCTATGTCCAGGGTGGAAGCTCCAGTAATCGATCTCCAGCTGTTACTGTATTGTAGGTATTTACTCCAACCAAGACGAGATTTACAAATGTTTTGAGTTAGTGACCTTCACCCGAGAGAAACTGGAGGAAAAGTGGTTTCCATTTCTGCAAATTAACAAGCAATGTTAACATAAACACTGCGAATGGATACACCAACGCTCGACGCTCATGCTCAATGCAGCACCATATGTCACCACCACAAATAGTAACAATGCATCGTTGCTACGTTGCAGGTTCCATTACAATCAAAAACAGCTCAACATTAATAAAAACAACATTAATAAATAATTCCAAGCATCAAAAAGACAGACAAAGTCACTCAAATCGCACGGGCACCGTAGATAGTCCTGTCACCAATCACATTTAACTTCCTCACGTAATTCCGATATTCTTTACATTACGAAAACCACCAGAATTGAAACGCTTAGAAAGGTAAAGACAGGGCAAGTTGGATAGCGTGCTTTGACAAAGAGACGTCCGTACGAACAACAAAGAAAGGAATTCACTGTCACAGTACAACAACATAAACTTCTATCCAACCTTCTCGAGCCAAAAATGTAGAGAACAAACATCTTGCTATGGTAGTAACTACTACGAGAACAGTAAATTGTTGGTGCCCAACGATGATCCCCGTTGTTCAACAGAAGCCGCTTGGCATGCTATTGGATTGCAGGGCCCCCGCAGAGAGCTGCATCCCTTCTTCGCACTTTTCAAGCTGTAAGGACCATTATGCCAGAGTACAACAAGTATATAGTATATATATAGTTATATATATAGTATATAGTCATATATAGTTGTCACGTCACCTTCGGGCACACGGATTACAATGGAACGAACAAGGTGAGCGGCTGTCTGAGTTTATCATGGCGACCAAGACAATCAGTGTTAACTAGCAATTCGAGAAGCTCTACCCTCAGCACTGAACGTGGGAGTCTTTCAGTGGAGAGTACCATAGCAAAATAGACCACATCATAGTAGTTAGAAGGTTTTCCCTAACCGATGTCGCTGTTGTCCCAAAATTCTACACTGGATCGGACCATCGACTTCTTCGTGCAGGATTCTATTCTTCGCGGAAAGGAGAAAAAGCTGCTAAAATCCAAAACCGAAGTCCCAAGACCACCACAAACTGGGACTTATTCAATTCATTAGTCGGCTGTTGGAAAACGCCGTTGTCGATAACATCGACGAAGAATATGATCGGCTCATTCAACATCTTTACGTTAGCGCTATGAAAACTGAGAGTTCGAAAGTCACCAAGAGACGTTTGCCTCCAAAAAGACTTGAGCTGATACGCCAGCGTAGAATCGCACAAGCTGCAGGCAACCGCGAACCAACGTCCGAACTTGGAAAACAATGCAGTCAGGTGATAAAATAAGATCTTGAAAAGAGAAGAGCAGCAGAAATGGCCAAAGCTGCAGAGGCTGGGAAAAGCATCAGCAAAACCCACCGAAGCTTCGCCAATTACAAGCCCAAGATGATTGCACTTCGACGCCCAGACGAAACAGTTACAGCGTCCAGAAAGGCAATGGAGAAAATCATACACGAATACTACTCGGATCTCTTCGATAGCAACGTGCACCTTTCGTCATATGCAATAAAGAATGGATGTGTTTTACCATCGGTTCTCTCTTTCGGAATCCGACACGCCATTTCGTCGGTGAAAAATCGAATAGCACCATTTCCGAACAGCATAAGACCAGAACACCTGTAGAACAATCCGCGAATCCTTGTAAACACAGTGGCTGGGCTCTTCACACATTACCTGCCTGAATGCAAGGTCCCTGCTCAGTGGAAGGCCAACAGAACCGTGTTATTGTTCAACAACGGTGACCTACACGATTTCGGCAATGCCCAATCTGTTTACTGTCTGTCGTCTACCAACTTCTCACTCGACTCGTCCTAAACAGTATTGACAGAACACTAGACGAAGGACAGCCACGTGAGCAAGAAAGGTTTCGAAAACCATTTAGCACGATGGACCACATCCATACGGTGACGAGGCTCATTGAAGTATCGCGCGAATACAAAAGACTGTTCTGTCTCACTTTTATCGGTTTACGGAAGGCCTTTGATTCAGCTGAGACGGAAGCGGTCTTGAAAGCCCTTGATAGTCAAATAGTTCCTACTCAGTACATAAAGATTCTTCGTGAGCTGTACAAAAATTTCACAACCAAGGTATCACCACTCTACAGCGATATTAACATTGACGTGAAAAGAGGAGTTAGGAAAGGCGATACCATCTCGCCAAAATTATTCATCGCCACCCTAGAGAACGCCATGCGAACATTGGAATGGATAATATGGCAGTGAAAACCGATGGTCGGCAGTTACATCATCTTGGCTTTGTTGATGACATCGTCCTTATAACACCAAACATTAGCCAAGCCGAACGCATGTTTGACGACTTTGATAAAGCCTGTGAAAAGATTGGTCTTCGATTAAATCTCTCAAAAACGATATTAATGAAGAACGGATTGGTTTCGCATCCCCCATTCACGCTCAACGGAACGAATGTCTCCGAATGCTCCAGTTATATCTATCTAGGTCGGGAAATCAATATGATGAACAACCTAGCACCAGAGATGAGCAGAAGGAAACGAGCGGCTTGGGGATCTTTCAAGAGCATCGAGGATGTAGTGAAGAGAACAAAGAACACCCGAACCCGTGCCCACCTTTTCGACTCACCAGTACTTCCTGCCCTAACGAATGCGTCAGAAACTTGGTCGCTGCGTAAGCAGGATGAAAGATCATTCACTGTTATCGAACGCGCAGCCGAAAGGACGGTGCTACAGAGCATTCCGTTTGACACAAGTAAGAGATAGGATCCGAAGTTTCGACCTGCGCCAACAATTAAAAATCAAAGATGCCGTTCTGTACGCCAAACAATCGAATATAAGGTGGGCCAAACACATAATGTGCATGAATTACAACTGATGGAGAAGAGCGATTGGTGTCTGGATTCCTTAGGATGTCAAACGCACTGCAGGATGATGACCTGATGGTCTGAGTTCTTCACAAAGAGCCTTGAAGAAAGACGTGATGTTCGACGAGTAACTAGTGCGAGCGGAACCCACTGGGTTGCTCTTGCACGCGACAGGGAAGAATGGAAGATTTACTGGTGCCTGCTCGAGTCACTCTACGATCAACGGGACTACAGGTGATACATGTGATGCTTAACTAGAGTACTCCAGCAGCAGTGGTTAGAGATGCTCGTCAATACACCTGCTGGCTAAAATAAGTTGAAGGCAAATGTTCGGGGTGAAAGTTAATGGATTGTAGATTACCAATAGTGCAGATCCTAAACGTTCATGCAAATAGTGTTCCTGCAAACCACAAATAGTTCACATACATGAGCAATGTGCCTCTCTCATATCAAAATATCAGGCCTAAAAACTGCCTGGGATCATGCATGATAACAAAACGTAGACTGATAAGTTTGGCTTGAGCTTATTCTCCAAACAAATGTACTTGTCGGCGCGACATCGCGAAGAAAACGAAACCAATTTGATTCGGGGCATCCGATCTATGGAATTTCCTGGGTAACTCTCAGTACCACCTGTAAAAGGTGAAAAATGATAATGCCATTCATACAAATTTACCACTGGCAAGTTTTTGCTTAAGAAGACAGCAAACAAAACTTTTTTC